TAGTATCAGGATTTTGGTTGAATTAATGTATGATTTGAATGATTGTGTCGTGAATAAATTGATATGTTGATATGTATAAACTGTATGTTTGACTTGAATTAAATTCAATAAGCTTACCCTTGCATTTCCTTTGTGTTGTCTTGTCTATGTATATCCGTCTTGTCAAATGCAATGATCATCCGTGTGGATGTGAGCAGAGGGAGATGCGTCCTTGGAGCAAACCCTTGAAGAGGAACTCATTGCTGAAGAAAATTTAGTAGAAGTTGAGGTGAATGCCGAACAGTGAGGCGTTCGGTTATTTAGTTAGTGTAATTAGAGTAGCGAGCGGCTGTGAGCGAGCGCTCTTTTTGTTGATTGTAAATAGTTGGACGTTCGGTAATGTTTTTGTAAACCGTTCGTCCTTGTTCTTTTGTGAACGCTCGTTAATTAATATATGAAAGGCCGTTCGGCCGTTTATTTAAATTTGTTTCCTTTATTTTTAAAACTGTTTGAGTTATTGATACGTGTAATTATTCTGAGTATATGGTTGATGACTGTATAATTTTGGGATGTTACAAAGATCTACATAGACTAAATTATATAATATTAAATTAAAATTAGTTATTTTTAAAGATGAAAAACTAAAAAAATGGTCATAATAATTAGTTATCATGCCTCGCTTCGAAAGAACTCACAGGTTCACTTAACAAAGAGGTCCCTTGTAAGATTCTGGAAGCTAAACCACCCATAAAGACTAAAATTACAAGCACCATTCGATGATATCCCTAGAATAAGTGACATACCATAACATTTATTTTCATGAAAGATGGAAACTTTAAGAAGCAAAGACGTTGGAAGTCTGGGAAATACAGATACAAACGGAAGTGAGAAGCAATGCATAATGAAAAGTACATACAGAAGTGGCAGAGGCTAAGAGATAAGGTGATGAAGGGATGGTTGGTAGGAGATGAGAAAGAAAAGCAAGAGAAGGAGAAAGGCAACACCCCAAGGGGAACCACCTGCTCTGTGGATGGCGCTGGGCTCAGATCCTGGCATGGGGAAGCTTATCTGAGTGCCTGTGGAGAGGCAGTGAACAATGATGATCAACAAGAGTGGAGAAATCACCAGCAAACGTTGCACCAACTCTGATGCAGTCGCCATAATTGCATCATACACTATGTATCCCACAAACCCACAAATCAGACCTGTGCCTGCCATCAGGAGCCATTTCTCTGAGAAGTTCAACCCTGACCCTGATCTGCTCACTGAAGAACCCATGCCACTGCATAGGACCAATGTAGTGAACACTTATTTGTGTTGTTCTGTTTTCAGATGATGTACTATGCCAGCTGTCTTTTTCGATTTCTTTCACTACATTTTCAATGGATTTTTGTATTAAAAATATGATCGGTTAACAACTTTTTTTTAATAATTTTGTTGGTAATAAAGTATGTGTTACTATTTTATTAATTATTTGAAACGGAACAATCACAAGTTATTGTCGTAAAAAAGTTGTTAAAAAAAGGGTTAAATATGTTTTTGATCCCTACTTTAAGTGAAAATTGAAATTAATCCATCTTCCAAACTTCAACCTAATTCAGTCCCTCAACTTTAGAAATGTATGAATTTAATCTTTTTAACCAAATTTTGTTAACTTTAATTGATGTTTCAAACGCGTTTCTCAGTTAACATTGAAGCAAAGATGTGTCAAACAATGTAAGCAACCCAAATGCTATCATGAAACGTGCTTGAAACATCAAATAAACCTAACAAAATTTAGTTAAAAGGACTAAATTCATACATTTTTAAAGTTTGGGTACTAAATTAGTTTAAAGTTTTGAAGATTTACTAATTCCAATTTTCACTGAAAGTTAAGGGACCAAAAACATATTTAATCCTAAAAAAAATTGTTAAAAAATTTGCACGATAAAGGTTTATCACCATCACTTGATATATACATAGAGAAGGGAGAGAGAAAAAATGTGATAAGATTTATAGAATATATGATTTGATAAGATTACAAAAGCATAAAAAAATTGGGAAATAGATGTTTAATCAATATGTATAAGAAATTTAAATGAAAGTTTAAGTTAATATGAGTTGAGTAGATATAAGAAAGTTGAATACTTTATAAAAAAATTGATAAATTCATTGTCTCTTTATATGTAAAGTCTTTCATAAAATATTTTGAGACACTAGTTTGGTAGAAATGTATTTTGATAAAAATAGTGGTATGACTATTGAGATACTCATGGTTAGGAATGTTTCTATTCAAGAAAGAGTATACTAATATAGAATGAATTCATTCTTGAGAAGAAGATTGTTGAATATCCAAATAAATCTAAGTCTCGTATTAAACAGAGATAATAAAGTTTGGTAAAAAAAATGTTATAAATTCGTTGTTTTAAGATTTTGGGTTAGAAATGATGTTAATCTCTTACTAATCCTATATCTTTAAAATAATTTCTCTTTCAAAAGACCTATCAAAGTATAATTATGATGTGTATTATACCTTGGAAAATTCATAAAAAAAGTCATGAATGACTTTTCTTCTTTTTGACTCTGAAAGTATGAAGGATATGATCATTTAATACATATTTTTGTAAACAACCACCTTTCATACTATTTAAGATATAAAAATATTATATTCATATATGTTCTTACATGGATTTAGCGATAGCCTCCTCTTCAAGTTAGGTTAGGGCAAAGCAAGAAGGTGAAATTATGGATGTCAAAGTGCCGCAAAAACAATGGAGATGGAGGAAATGTGTCTCGGTTTGGAGGTTTAAATTGATACATTATCGTTAATGCTATCAAATTACCACAACTTAATCAAGACAACTTTAATATTACCAAGTTAGTAGTTAACAAACTAGATAAGATTAAGTTAATCCTGAGTCATATCCCAATGAATACAAAATTAATTTTCAACAATTAATTCTTATGAAATCATAAGCGAAAGGTTAATAAAACACAATGCAAAAATAAAATATAAAAGTAAAACCTAAGCTAAAATTGATATAAAAGAATTTAAATGTGAATTAGATAACAATAATTAAAATAAAAAATTATAATGTAATTGGACAAGTCTTTTGAAACTTATATACTTCAAATAAATTATGCATGTTTAAATGTTATGGTTTTGAGAAAAAAAGTTTTCGCACTATGATAGAAAGTTGAAATTTATAGTTCTCGAATAACTCGTGAACCGTGGAAATTTGGGCGTTAAATGCCCATTTTGAAAAAGGGAGTCTATAAGTAAAAGTTAGGATTGTAGAACAAATGTTTTCCGGAATTTTCTGATCTTGGCCTTATTATGAAGCTTGAAAACACAAATGCAATTGGAAAACGTAAATGGACAGTAATGAAAGAGGGAAAAACGAAAGTGCAGAGACGAAAACGAGAATGAAAACAACAATGAATAAAGAACACAAAACGTAAATGAAATTGCAATCAAAATCAATATTTAATACAATGAAAGGAGAATGAAACGAAAATGAAACCTAAAACCCCAAGGGGGGGAAGGGGCTGGAAAAAACAGCAAGGCTGTCCAAAACCTAAAGACAACGTGAATGAGGGGAGAGAGAGCCTTCTAAAATCTGATTTTGGGTCTTTATAACCCCAAATTACAAAATGCCCTTCTAATGGGTTTCTACAAAATATGGCCGAAAATAAGCCCAAAGCTAAACTAAAAATGAAATTAAAATCTAATGTTGATGTGGAAATTGGTAAATGACGTGGCAACACTCTTTTAGTTCCAAAATAAGATTCCAAAATTGTCCTGCAAATACTAGTTGGAATAATTAGGCCTAAATAATTCAAATTAATTAAAATAAGAATTAACAGTCTAATTAAGCCCAAATAGTGAAAATGAGACAATAACGGAGAATTAAACACAATTCACTAATATATTTTGGTGAAAAACCTAAGTGAATAGATTAGAAATAGTGATTCATCAAACAGTTCTTAAAAAAATAATTAGAACTTTAAATTTGCATAAACATAGAAACAATACACTCGAATTTTATAGTAGTTCTCTCCAATAGAGCTACATCTAGTTAGTCAAGACAACTTGAGCTTGACTTTTCACTAATTCAAGATATTGTAATATCCTTACAATTGAATTCTTGAAAAAGAAAAATACACACAACATAAGTTTCTTGAATCACACAAGAAACAACCAAAGCACAACAAGAATCCCTCTTGTAGACTTAAACTCACACCAATAACATCACACAAACATAAGCGAAGACACAAGAAAGATAAAACCTCAAGATTGACTCTTCCTATCCACTCAATAACATTTCTACAACATGCCAACAAGGAGCAATCACAGCTCCAATAACTCTTGAAAGATTCATGAACAACAATAACACACTTCCTGTGATAGAATGAGGTTTTTCCATTTTGCAAAATGATTTCGTGCATTAACCAAAAATATCTACACTCTCATAGAAAAAGAAAGGCTTATATAGTATGTACATTGACATATTCAATCAATTGAAATAACTACTTTCTTCAAAGTTTGTGTAAAGTCATTCAAGAAAGAGAAGAAGAAAGAGTAAGACTATACTACATAGTGAAAAAGTGTTGCTAAAATTTGTGTCCTTGGAAGTTCATAGAGAACATTGTTTGTGTTTACTTAGAAAATTAAAACAGAATGTATAAACATTGTATACATCGAAAAACGATATTTCTCTCTAGTGAGTAAACTTGTAATTTGTTTATTACTATTCATATAATCTATCCATCTTAGCCAAGAGTGTCCATTTGGCAAAGAATATTTGGGTTAAGCCGAGAGCGGCTTATTTAATAAATACTTGGTTAAGCCAAAAGTAGATTGTTGAAAAGAATATTTGGTTAAGCTAAAAGTGGCTTATTAAAAGTATATTTGGTTAGATAAAAAGTGGCTTGTTGAAAGAATATTTGGGTTAACCATGAGTGATTATTAATCTATACAATACTCAAGAGACTAGTCAAAAGTAACTATGAGTCCAAACAATATTTTTTGTACTTCACAACATTGATATGCTTAATAAAACTCAATATGTTAATGAAGAATTATACATAGTCTGCTTTGTCAAATAAATGAATATAAAACTATTATGTATTTCTCTTTTCTTTTCTCTCTTTTACTTTGCATATTATTATCATTAGTAATAATTTAAGAGGAAGAGTCATTGTTGAAGGTGACTTAGAAAAATTTCTTTTTGAATAATTATAGTTTGTACTCAAATTTTGTTTATTTCCATTTGATACTAGCCTTCATTATCATTTACTCTCTTTACTTTTTTTTACAACTAAAAGTTTATTTTTGTTAATATTATTTTACCTCTATAATAAATGGTCAAATAATAATTATTGGTATCAAAAGAATTTTTTCCTTTATTTTAAAACAAATAATTTAATAAATAAAAGGCCAATCTGAATTATGTATCTCATCCAATACAATTTTTATTAAAAGAATCATTAACAAATAACCTATTTTAATCATCATAGAAGATATTTATGAAAAATTTAAAAAGATATTAAAATACAATTCAACTCTTTTTTTTAATGTTTTCCAGTTTTTCACGTAATGTTCTACTTTATTCTAACCTCACGTTTTTTTGTACTTGTATAATTAAGTTAAAAAAACTTCTTCTAATATGAAAATATATTATTCTTTAGCATTGAAAAGCTTGAAAGAATGATCGAACTAGGTTATGATATACATCGCAAACAATTGTACAAAACTTACACCTCTAAACTATAAGATAGGTTCAATTTCAATTAAATGGTAAGAAAATGTTGAAAAATAATGCTTTCATATATTAATGATTATATAGATACTTATGTAATTAATTCTTAATAAATTAAGTATCAATATCATTATTTAATATATTCTTTTAATAGAGAATGTTATCCTTTAATAAATAAAAAGTGATTTATTTGTTTAACAAAATAAATAATTAAATAATTTTTCTATATTTTAAAATAGTTAAATAACCTTTTTTAACTGATGATTATGTAATTTTTCAATAGTATTTTTTATAAAATTATATATTTTTTAAATTATATTATTTTTTTATCTTTAATAAATTGCTCAACAAAATAATAAAGCAATAAAAGTTATAGAATTATATATTTTTTAATATAAATATACAAACAACAAGAATGTGGCTGTACATAACTCTGTTTCACTTTAATTATAACTAAGACTGAAATCATATAAAATCAAGAAGTTACAAAAATAAGAGTATTTTGAATATAAAATAAGCACATAGACTGTCGAAGAGGAAATATACTACAAAAAACGTTATAGCTCAAAAATAAAAGATCGAATTAGTTTGGTATATATTATAATTCATAAATAAATTAAA